CCCCCCCCCCCCCCCCCCCCAGACCCATGGGGTTGGGACACACAGAACTCACAGTCACAGGGCTGAGCAGCACCAACGGGACCCACAGGGATGGCAGCACGGTGCAAAGGGAGGATGCACTCAGCAGGAGCTTTGCTTGAAGCAACCCCAACCTCCCTACCCTGAGAACCACCAGCCCCACAAAGGGGGGACCCCATCCCCCCCCATGACCACGTGCTCCTTCAGCTTCTGTCCTCCCATCTCACAGCAGCTCCTGGCTGGGACACAAACAGAGCACCCCCAGATCCAGGGATGCTGCAAACCCCCAAGCAGCCCCATCGAATCCCACAGCCCTTCTTCCTCCTCTATAGGATCAGGAGCCCCCCTGAAGCCCCCCGGGGTGGGCACGGCACCCCACAGCCCCCACCCCCCCACTGCTGAGCCCGGCCTCCTTCATCCCCCCCCCTCCGCAGCAGGTTCCTCTCAGCCTCCTCGCGAAATCATTAGAGGAAAAACAGATGGAGCTGTTGGCAATTCCCTGCGAATCGATTCATCCAAGCCTCGCAGCTCGTAACTCGCCCAACAGTTGGGTTTTCTCCTCTTTCTGCATTTTGTTTTTCTCTCCATCCCTCCCCCCCCCCCCAAGTAACCGGAGACCCCAACGGATCAGCGCAGAGCTGCAGAGCAAGGCCACACCACGACCCTGCAACGGATCCCCCTCCAAATCTGGGACATTTTCACCCTCTCCCCTGCACCAAACACCCCCAAAACCCCTCACCATCCACACACGCGCCCACCCCACAGCCCCCAAAGGACTCGTGGTGCAAACGGGACGCGAACGAAGGGCCGCAGAGCCCCCGGATGGAGCATTGCTTTCCCTTCCCAGAAGCACTCGGAGCTCATAAACAGGAGCAGCTGGCACCAGCACGGCGTGAGCAGGAAGAGGGGCGGCTGCACTCGCCAAGGGCTGATGCAATTGTTTAGACCCAAGAGCTGCTTTCTGTCACCCCCTCGTCTGCGCTCCCCGGAAAGAGCATCACCCCGGCTGGGAGCGGAGCGTCGAGGCACGAGGACGAAGCAGCAGCAGCACGTGCTTGGCTGTGGGTTTGGGAGAGGGCAGGAAGTCCAGCGTGCAAACAGCCAGTGCAAAATGCAAAGCATCCCTGGTGTGAAATGCAAAGCCCGCCGGTGCAAAATGCAACTGCTACCGGTGCAAAAAGCAAATGTCCCTGGTGCAAAATGCATAGCCTACCGGTGCAAAATGCAAGCGCCCTCGGTGCAAAACGCAAAGCCCACCAGTGCAAAATGCAAGTGCCTCCAGTGCAAAATGCAAAGCCCACCGGTGCAAAATGCAAAGCCAACCA